AAAAGCCTAAAACTTGATAATTCAGCAGAGAAGCAAAACACAAGAGGAGAATTTAAAATATACGTAAAAATGAACTCGGGCAATCAAGTGGGATGTAAAGACTAAAGACAGACAGACAGACAGACAGACAGATAGACAGACTGAGCAGACAGACACAGACAAACTCTTCCTGACAACACACAGACTAACATGCATGCAGTGTTCTAAGGCTAGTAGCGACTATATCAGTGTTGCCCAATGTGAATGTGTTAACATATATAAGCAGTGTTAATGCAGTGTTACCATGCCGAGGGTGTAAAAAAATTGTAATACTAGTTACTGCAGTGTTACCATGCCGGGGGTGTAAGTACCAATACTAGTTACTGCAGTGTTACCATGCCGAGGGGTGTAAGCAAGGTACCAATACAATTACTGCAGTGTTACATGCGGGTGTAAAAAAGTACCAATACTAGTTACTGCAGTGTTACCATGCCGAGGTGTAAGCAGAGTATCAATACTAATTACTGCAGTGTTACCATGCCGAGGGTGTAAAAAGGTACCAATACTAGTTACTGCAGTGTTACCATGCCGAGGTGTAAACTGGTACCAATACTAGTTACTGCAGTGTTACCATGCCGAGGGTGTAAAGGTACCAATACTAGTTACTGCAGTGTTACCATGCCGAGGGTGTAAGCAGAGGTATCAATACTTAGTTACTGCAGTGTTACCATGCCGAGGGTGTAAAAGGGTACCAATACTAGTTCATTTTACCATGCCGGTGTAAGCAGTACCAATACTAGTTACTGCAGTGTTACCATGCCGGGAACTGGCTTGAACACCAATACTAGTTACTGCAGTGTTACCATGCCGAGGGTGTAAAAAGTACCAATACTGAATTGCAGTGTTACCATGCCGAGGGTGTAGCTGGTACCAATACTAGTTACTGCAGTGTTACCATGCCGAGGGTGTAAGCAGAGGTATCAATACTAGTTACTGCAGTGTTACCATGCCGAGGGTGTAAAAATACCAATACTAGTTACTGCAGTGTTACCATGCCGAGGTGTAAGCAGAGTACTATACTAGTTACTGCAGTGTTACCATGCCGAGGGTGTAAGCAAGTACCAATACTAGTTACTGCCAGTGTTACCATGCCGAGGGTGTAAGCAAGTACCAATACTAGTTACTGCAGTGTTACCATGCCGGGGTGTAAACTGAGGTACCAATACTAGTTACTGCAGGTGTTACCATGCCGAGGTGTAAACTGAAATTGCCAATGGTACTGCAGTGTTAACATGCCGAGGGTGTAAACTGAGGTACCAATACGTTACTATAGTGTTGACCATGCAGGGTATAGAGGGGTATCAAGACATTCCCTCCTGCACCACTACCAAGCCAGGGAACCAAAAACAGTATATTACAAACCAGAGAAACAAAAACAGCATCACCAAGCCAGAAAAACAGTATTACCAGCCAAAAAATATCAAATCAAACAGTATTGACAAACCAGCAAAATATCTCAACCAGGATGCAAAACATGTGTTACAAATGACCCTTCGTGCAGTATTACCAAACAAAAAAACTTCTTACTTGTGGTAGTGTTGAAGATACTGGTTGAAGCGGTCATGTTAGCAAGTTGGGGGAGATGAGTAACCAGCGCGGCGTTGATGGGCACCGTAGGTGGGGAGGAGGAGGAGGAGGAGCCGTGGAGGAGGAGTGGGGGTGGAGGCGTTGGAACCGAAACCTCCCGGGGGCGACTTCAGGCTTACTCCCGGCCCCTGACTCGTGTAGTCCTCTAGAAGAAAAAACCTACAGTGACAACAGCAAGTCATTACAGCGCCAGCAAGGGTCTGGTAACAGTGTTGGACATTGATTGGTAACAGTGTAAGACATGGTAAACAGGGTGTGGTAACAGTGTAAGACATAGTAAACAGGGTGTGGTAACAGTGTAAGACATGGTAAACAGGGTGTGGTAACAGTGTAGACATGGTAAACAGGGTGTGGTAACAGTGTAAGACATAGTAAGGTTGTGGTAACAGTGTAAGACATGGTAAACAGGGTGTGGTAACAGTGTAGACATGGTAAACAGGGTGTGGTAACAGTGTAAGACATATGGTAAACAGGTTATTGTAACAGTGTAAGACATGGTAAGCAAGAGTTAGTGGTAACAGTGTAAGACTATGGTAAACAGGGTGTGGGTAACAGTGTAAGACATGGTAAACAGGGTGTAGTGTAGACATGGTAAACAGGGTGTGGTAACAGTGTAAGACATGGTAAACAGGGTGTGGTAACAGTGTAGACATGGTAAACAGGGTGTGGTAACAGTGTAAGACATGGTAAACAGGGTTATTAAACAGTGTAAGACATGGTAAACAGGGTGTGGTAACAGTGTAGACATGGTAAACAGGGGTAACAGTTAAGACTTGTTAAGCAGGTTGTGATAACAGTATAAAACATGGTAAACAAGTTGTGGTAACAGTGTAAGACATGGTAACAGGTGTGGGTAACAGTGTAAGACATGGGTAAACAGGGTGTTGGTAACAGGTGTAAGACATAGGTAAACAGGGTGTGTTAACAGTTGTAAGACATGGTAAACAGGGTGTGGTAACAGTGTAAGACATGGTAAACAGGGTGTAGTATTATTTAATTGCAGTGTGGTAAACAGGGTGTTGGTGAACAGTGTAGGTATAATTAGAGCAGGTTGTTGGTAACAGTGTAAGACATGGTAAACAGGGTGTTTGTGTAACATTAGTGTAAGACATGGTAAACAGGGTGTGGTAACAGTGTAAGACATATTAAACAGGGTGTGGTAACAGTGTGGAACATAATTAAACAGGGTGTGGTAACAGTGTAAGACATGGTAAACTAGGGTGTTTGGTAACAGTGTAAGACATGGTAAACAGGGTGTGGTAACAGTATTTAAGACATGGTATAAGCAGGGTTTGGTAACAGTGTAAGACTAGTAAACAGTTGTGGTAACAATTGTAAGACATGGTAAACAGGGTGTTAGTAACAGTGTAAGACATGGTAAGCAGGTGTGGTAACAGTGTAAGACATGGTAAACAGGGTGTGGTAACAGGTGTAAGACATGGTAAAGCAGGGTGTTATGATAAGAACATGGTAGCAGGGTGTGGTAACAGTGTAAGACATGGTAAACAGGGTGTGGTAACAGTGTAAGACATGGTAAACAGGTTGTTATTAACAGTGTAGGAGATGGTATAGGGTGTGTGTAACAGTTAATGACATGGTAAACAGGTTGTTGGTAATTGGTAAGACATGGTAAACAGGGTTTTGGTAACAGTGTAAGATATGGTATAGGTTGTTGTTGCAGTTAATGACATGGTAAACAGGGTTTGGTAACAGTTAATGATATGGTAAACAGGGTTTGGTAACAGTGTAAGAAATGACGGTTGTGGTAACAGTGTAGACATGGTAAACAGAATTATTGGTAACAGTGTAGACATGGTAAACAGGGGTGTGGTAACAGTGTAATGACATGGTAAACAGGGTGTGGTAACAGTGTAAGACATGGTAAACAGGGTGTGGAACAGTTAATGGACATGGTTGAAGCAGGGTGTGGTAACAGTAGTAAGACATGGTAAAACAGGTTGTTGGTAACGGTATAAGAGACATGGTAAACAGGGTGTGGTAACAGTGTAAGACATGGTTAAACAGGGTGTTGAAGTAACAGTTATAAGACATGGTAAACAGGGTGTGGTAACAGTATAAGACATGGTAAACTAGGGTGTGGTAACAGTGTAAGACATGGTAAACAGGTTGGTAACAGTATAAGACTGGTAAACCAGGGTGTGGTAACAGTGTAAGACATGGTAAACAGAGTTGTTGGTAACAGTGTAAGACATGGTAAACAGGGTGTGGTAACAGTGTAGACATAGTAAACAGGGTGTGTGTAACAGTGTAAGACATGGTAAACAGGGTGTGGTAACAGTGTAAGACATGGTAAACGGGGTTTGGTAGTGGTGTGAACATGGTAAGCAGGGTGTGGTAACAGTGTAAGACATGGTAAACAGGGTGTGTAGTAACAGTTAAGATCATGGTAAACAGGGTGTGGTAACAGTGTAAGACATGGTAAAACAGGTTGTTAGTAACAGTGTAAGACATGGTAAACAGGGTGTGGTAACAATTGTAGACATGGTTAAACAGGGTGTGGTTAATAGTGTAAGACATAGTAAACAGGGTTTGTTAGTATGTAAGACATGGTAAATCAGGGTGTGGTAACAGTGTAAGACGTGGTGAACAGGTTGTGTAACAGGTAAGACATGGTAAACAAGGGTGTGGTAACGGTAGTGAAGACATGGTAAACAGGGTTGGTGGTAACAGTGTAAGACATGGTAAACAGGGTGTGGTAATGGTGTAAGACATGGTAAACAGGTTGTGGTAACAGTGTAAGACATGGTAAACAGGGTGTGGTAACAGTGTATGACATAACACCTGAGACATAAATATATATACCATTTATTAACAATTATAAACCTCCAATAAATTACAATAGCAAACAATAAATAACTTCATTACTAAACCGCAAAAGCCAGAGTGAAAATATACACAAAATCCTATCTTAAATAATTATGTTGAATGTAAAGTAAATATATTTTATTCTCCAGCAATACGTACAGTTGAGGACAAATTCCCTGAACATTTGGCATTATCTCGGTCTCGGGTATTTCTGAGCCATAATATTTTAAAGTAACTTATTTATTTATTAGGGAGAAGGATGCTAATGACTGTGATGAAGAGTAAGGTTAAGAATAAAAATTAAAAGAGAGGGACAATATTAAGTATTATCAAGAAAAAAAAAGAAAAAAGATGAGAGGAAAAATGACGATAAATTTATATTTACGAAAAATTACAAAAACAGAGATTGAAGAAGGAAAAAAAATAATACCAATGGCTTAAAACAATAAAAACAAAAGTAAAAAAATATAAAAAAACAAAAATACAGAAAAACAGAAGAGAAAAACAAAACACAGACACTCAGTTACTCAATAAAAGGTCAACAATAATCACCTTCCCCACTGTGTGTTAGCCGTGTCCTGACGTGACGGCGAGCTGGCCGGTTGTAGGTGTTGAAACCGGTCATGGCGGAGGTTTGGTTCATAGCGGGGGAGCGTGGGGCGGGAGGGCAAGCTGGTTGTTGCGGGCATGGAGTAAAGCGCCTCAGCCAGGTCCGCCGCGCGCCAGATGATCTCCTTCGGCAGCTTCTCTGGGTCGCCTGGGTGCCGGGGATCAACTTCTGCAGCCGCTGGAACCCGTAGTCGATGGTGGGCGCAAACGCTGTGAAGACGGAGAGAGTGAGTCAATGTTGAGAAAGGAGAGTCAATGTTGAGAAAGGGGAGAGAGTCAACACTGAGAAAGGAGAGTCAATGCTGAGAATGGGAAGAATCAACGCTGAGAGGGATAGATAATGAGTCAACGCTGAAGGTTAAGTCAAACTGATAGATGAATCAGGTTTAATTTTATGCTTCATTAAAACCATCCAACGAAACAATAAAGATACTCGTACGTTCAGTTATCGTAAGAGTGTCCGTGGGCCTCCATCAACTACCTCCACTAATTCTATTCGGAGACGCTGCCAACCTCATAACTCCATCTTGTCTATAAAACTACTTTACTATGTATATGACTGCCAACCACAAAAGAGTATCGTAATGCCGTCGTCTTTAAAAAACTATTGTATTTTACGATAATGTAAATATTGTCTGCTATTGTGGAGTGAAGGGAGGAGACTAAAAACAAAATAGTCTAGAACGTCCGCTAGTCAGAAGGGTCTACGGTGAAGCAGGAAGGCGTATGTATACAAGGTTATGTAACTGACCTCACAGTTCGCCGCCACACCGGCAATTAAGTACAGTACAGAAGATCAGTATAATGATTCTACAGTACAGTGGATCAGTATAATGATTCTACAGTACAGAGGATCAGTATAATGATTCTACAGCAGGATCAGATAATGATTCTACAAGCAATTATACGTTTGGTCTAAAACTCTACACTGTAAACCACGACATTTGATTCCCTTCATAAACAATCAGTTCCAAATTTCACATAAGCCGGATATGAGGAAGTCACAGGGAGCCATTTTCAGTAGGTGGGCGTACAACACATTCCTAACAGCTATTAACAGAGTGTATTAATTCCCCACTGGCGACTGCTGGGGTTATTACAATTGGAGAGACTAACACTGATACTCACAGACATAGACGAATCTGCCAGGTGCGCCCCTTGCAAACTGCTTGGACTTGTAGGAAAGCGTCACCTCCACCACCCCAGGGATGTGACGCGGGGTGTCTGACCCGGATGGCGTGTGACGTCACCAACTGCAAGAAAACATTATATGACGTCATCGATCTCAAAACCAAAATAAACAACGTCAGCCATTATAACAAGAGTATATTGCGTCTTTAGTGACTACAATAATAACAGTGTTAACACCTTCGGCAGCGTGTGACGTTACGAGCAGCACCAACATAATATACCATCACTAGTTACAAGAGAATGTGACGTCACCTGCCACAACAACTGTCCCTCTCACTACCAAACTACCTCGACTACATATTTATCCCTGACTTCACATAAAACACTGTTAATGGTATACATTTCCACTATCACTGACACGTGCTGACTAACAATACAAGAATGGTGAACCTTCAAGACACAGTACGTACACACAGCCATCACAGCATAATCTTTATAACAGTGAGGCTCCACAAGGCGAGGCTCCACATGGCGAGGTTCCTTCTGCATTTGGCACGGTAGCAGGAGGGTCAAAGAGGCTAAATATACCGTCACAGATACTCCCTGTCCTTAGCTGTCGACTGGTTTAATGCGTGATAGTGTTGCTATCCAATATTGTGAACGATGACAACTTTACACAAGCTCTGTCTTCTAAACTGCCCGCAGGAGTCCTGAAATGCTTAATTTAGTACTGTTTCCTTTTATTTACTAATGGCCACCCAAATTAGAAGTGGCCATGGCGATGTCAGAAGGCCAGTGATCTGTGTAACATCCCTCCATTACTCTGGATTATCTTTTCAAGGCCAATTTTTGTAGCCCAGTACTGCTCTCGACATCCAAATACTGTTGTTTATTATTATCAGATACTGTGTTACAAGTCATTATTATTGTTATTAGTCATTATTACTGTGTTATTGTTGTCCTGGTTACTGCCGTTGTTATTGTCGTATTATAAATATTATTAGTATTCTAGCTCGTAAATCATTCTAACACCAGTAAAATAGTACCGAATTATTTGAATTTATATACTATAATGCCATTGTCCACGTGTTATTATACTATTAAACCCGTCATATGAACTTACATTAAACTGATTTCATAAATATCTAAAACATTATAAAACTCCCATAAAACAAAATTCTTCTTGGCTACAACATGTAAACAGTGTGGCGTCTCACCTCACCCAGACCAACATGGTGCCGAAGACGATCTGCAGCCCGTCAAAGAAGTTATCGCCTATAATGATGACGGTGGCGCCTCCCGTGGTCCAGCCCTCTGACGGTGATGGCCTTGATGCAGGGGTAGCTGGCAAGTGGGGGGTACAGTCCTGGGGAAGATACGGGGGGAGGGTTAATATGTATGGGGAATTGGCTAGATGTAGGCACAGACTTTATGAGGGACAGGTATGTAAGGCCACCATTATCATCGTCAATAATAATAATAATAATAATAATAATAATAATAATAATAATAATAATAATAATAATCGATACATCTTTGCAACAAAACAACACACAATACAATGAACTATTTACTAAGGTACAAATTCTCATAAATTACAAAACAAATATTTGACACCCTAATACCAGCGCCCCTTAGCACTGACTGACACCCCAGCTGTCCCTTGAGCACCACTCGGATGCCTCCACCAGCTGGGCTCACACACCACACAGTGAGAGTGTGACAACAGCTACCTGGTATTAAATTGTCTGAGGCACAGGAGGTGGACAAGGGCAGCAGAGAGCGAGTCTTCACCCATTCTACTCTGAACCGAACTTAACCTAACTTAAACGCACTCTACTAGGTAGCGTTAGGGTGTTTAATTTTTCAGGTGAAAATAAGTTGAGGGAAAAATTCTTATGCATTTGGAGAGAGGGGGGAGAGAGAGAGAGAGAGAGAGAGAGAGAGAGAGAGAGAGGGAGAGAGAGAGAGGAGAGAGAGAGAGAGAGAGAGAGAGATTACCAAAGCATTTTATTCAGCACCACTGTACAATCCGGGGCGTGGTGGTGGTAGAAGGAGGTGGAGTTCGACTCACCTGTGTCGTGGACGGATGGACACAAGGGAAGAGCCACGCCCACACTCTGTATAGGAGGGGCGAGGAGAGGAGGGCGAGTGAGTGAAGGAGGGCGAGTGAGGGAAGGAGGGCGAGTGAGGGAAGGAGGGCGAGTGAGGGAAGGAGGAAGAGAGGAGGGAAGGAGGGAGGAAGGAAGGAGGCGAGTGGAGGGAAAGAGGGCGAGGGAAGGAGGGCGAGGAGGATGGAAGGTGAGGGAGAGGGAGGGAGGGAGGGGATGAGGGGGTGATGTACACATGCACTAGGAATTTAAGACGGGGTGTGGCATGAGGGGGGTGAGGGTTGTCACAGGTAAACAAGATAGGGTGATGAGTGGAGATGTAGGTGTGTGGAAAGTGAGGGCTGGGTGTGAGGTGAGGGCTGGGTGGGGGTGAGGGCTGGGTGACAATGAGGGGTGGGTGGCGGTAAAGGCTGGTGGTGGTGAGGACTGTGTGGTGGTAAGGGCTGCGTGTGAGGTAGGGGCTGGGATGTACAGAACACCTGCTGTAACAGATCATCAGTGACAGGTAGGCAAAGCTCACCTTCGTCACGGAATGGCAAAAAATTAATATTGCATCACCTTAAGATAAGCCACCCCAGCTTATTTCCACCTTAAGATAAGCCACCCCAGCTATTTCACCTGAAGATTAGCTTTCACTTGTTTATTTACCTGAAGATTAACTCACCTAACCTAAATCTCCAAGATATAGTTAGGGTGTCTAATTTCAGGTGAAATATGTTCCCCAGCTAATTTTCAAGTGATTCTATAAAGTATCCCAATGTTGATCAAAACAAAAACAGGTAAAATACATTAAAATATCTGATGTGTATTAAAAAAAAGCTAAAAACATACATGATAAACAAATCCAAACAATGAGAAGACTGTAATAACATACTAAACACACACACACACACACACACACAACACCTACCTTAAACTAACCCACGAGACTTAAACACAAAAAATAACACAATCAAGACTAAAAATCAATAATGTATAAAATTAACACCCGAATCTAAGTGCTAAACCAACCCGGCCCCTAAGACAAACACTCGAATAATATTGCTATGCAAACTAACACCCAAAACTAAACCACCAAAACTAATACACAGAAACAGTGCGCTTAAACAAACATACCGGGAGGAGTAAAAGCCAATGAGGGACTAGTAGGCTCCCCCTTCCCCTGCAAAATCAACAACCAAACCTCAATGAAAATAAAATAAAAACTTGTTTGAGGCATGAAGAAGGTGGGGAGGGGGGGATTGTTTGGGGGTGACGGTAGGGAGGAAGAGAAAGAGAGAGAGAGAAAGGAAAACAGAAAAAAAGGTGTTTGGCCATCTTGAGAGGTCGACCACGTTCAGCCCGTAATACTCACCACATTTTAGTGTCGGGAGGCAGACGGAGGGAGGGGGAGAAGGAAGGAAAAGAAGGAGGAGGGAGGGAGGGAGGGAGGGGGGAGAGGGAGGGAGGGAAGGAGGTAAGGGAGAGAAGGATGGAAGGAGGGAGGTTGTAGGCTCAATACGGAAGTTAAGAATTTTTGTAGTTTTTTTTTATTTTCCTCTTAACGTCGTCTTTTTCTCATCTCCTTCCTTTTCTTCCTTTCATTCATTTCCTTTTCCTTCTTTTATTCTCCACTAGGTTTTTCTACCGTCTCCTTCTGCCTCTCCTATTATCTTCTATCCTTCCCTTCCTTTTCCTCTTCCGTCTTCTCACCTATTCCCTAATTCCTCTTTCTACCTATATCCTCCTCCGCCTCTTTCTTCTATCTCCCTCTCCTCTTTTTTCGTCCTTCCCCCTATCCCTCTCCTCCTCTTCCTCTTTCTCAGTGTCGTTTACACACACCTGTCACCCCAAACCTAACCTAACCTAACCCCTGTAACGTTATAGGGTGATTAATCTGTCGGTGAAATAAGCTGGGGAGGCGGGAGTCTTCAGGCATTAACCATCACCACTACCATCAACACCACTAGTATCATCACCACTACCATCAACACCACTAGTATCATCACCACTACCATCAACACCACTAGTATCATCATCCACTACCACCACCACTAGTATCATCACCACTACTCAAACACCACGAATATCATCACCACTACCATCAACACCACTAGTAGTTCATCACCACTACCATCAACACCACTAGTATCATCACCACTACCACCACCACCACTAGTATCATCCCCACCATCACCACCACTACTACCATCATCATCATCATCATCAACACCTCACCACCACCACTACTACTACCATCAACAACACCACCACTACCCCATCAACACTATCACCATACCTGCACTACTACCATCCCCACCATCACCACCACTACTACCATCATCATCACCACCACCACCACATGTACTATACACTCACTGACCGTAATCTTCCTTCGTCAATAATATTCCTCACAACCCCGTGTTCACAACCCTCGTGTTCACTTTACAGGTGCGTTTCATAAGTTGTGTAATAACCAGTAGAGAGACTGTGTTACCTGGATTTACTTAGTATTCGAACCCGTGTCTTGATGATGTTACCTTTGCCGTTAACGAGTATGTTGATCTAAACCAGATGTTAGAAATGTGTTCAGGGCTTCACAAACATGCAATGACCTTGTTCTCTCTTCTACCCTTTCCCCTTCAGCTTATTTCACCCAATGATTAAACCTCCTAACACTACCTGGAGGGGTTAGATTAGGTTTGCTTGGTTAGGTTAGGTTTGTTAATCTTGGTGGTATAAGCTGGGTGGTTAATCTTCAAGTGATACGTAGAGGAGAGGTCAAGCATTAACTTAGGCGTCTGTGCACTTCTCCCCAATAACCTCCCCATCTCCATCACCACCTGGACGTCTCCCCAAAACCGCCCCACCACCACCACCTGGACGTCTCCCACAACCTCCCCCAGCTCCACCACCACCTAGATGTCTCCCCAACAACCTCCTCACCACCACCACCACCTGGACGTCTCCCCAATACCTCCCCAGCTCCACAACCACATAGATGTCTCCCCAATAACCTCCCCACCTCCACCCCAGGTCCGTCTCTCTCCTTTACTGGTGTCAGACGGTGATGCCGAATCTGTTTTTATTCTTTCCAGTAATCAGCGAGATGCAACGCTCCTCCTCATCCCCCCGCCATTCCCCCCTCCTTTCCTTCCACCTTTTCCACCCTTCCTCAGACCCTCATTCCTCCTCCCCAACCCCAGATCCATACATCCCCACCTCCATCTCCAACACGCCCCCACCTCAAAATACTTCATCAGGTTAAAATTTCAGTTTCTCAGATCCTCCTGTATTAATTTCTCCTCCTTAACTTTGGATCATATCAAGGACAACATGTATCTCGGTAACTGTTATGAGGCCGTGACCGAGGTGGCGTCAGAACTGTGCTGTGACTCTACCCAGACATTGTTCTATTTATTATAAGATGATGATAAAACTTACGACTTTGAGGAAATGGATAAATATTTCTAAAGGTGGATGAAGGAATTTTTTTAATAGATGAATGATGAAAAGTTGCTGATGGCAGGATGAGTGGCGTCTCAGGTTAATGTTGACGTTATTAACATTATATCACGAGGCCTACTAGAGATAACAGCAACATCAAGAGGCCTACTAGAGATAACAGCAACAACATCAAGAGGCCTACTAGAGATAACAACAACAGCATCAAGAGGCCTACTAGAGATAACAGCAACAGCATCAAGAGGCCTACTATAGATAACAGCAACAGCATCAAGAGGCCTACTAGAGATAAAGAACATCAAGAGGCCTACTAGAGATAACAGCAACAGCATCAAGAGGCCTACTAGAGATAACAGCAACAACATCAAGAGGCCTACTAGAGATAACAACAACAGCATCAAGAGGCCTACTAGAGATAACAGCAACAACATCAAGAGGCCTACTAGAGATAACAGCAACAACATCAAGAGGCCTACTAGAGATAACAACAACAGCATCAAGAGGCCTACTAGAGATAGCAGCAACAGCATCAAGAGGCCTACTATAGATAACAGCAACAGCATCAAGAGGCCTACTAGCGATAACACAGCAACAACATCAAGAGGCCTACTAGAGATAACAGCAACAGCATCAAGAGGCCTACTATAGATAACAGCAACAGCATCAAGAGGCCTGCTAGAGATAACAGCAACAGCATCAAGAGGTACTAGGAGATAACAGCAGCAGTAACAGCAAGAGGCCTACTAGAGATAACAGCAGCAGTAACAGCAAGAGGCCTACTAGAGATAACAGCAGCAGTAACAGCAAGAGG